TAGGTGTATACCTTGGAGATGATTCAATATTACAAAAAAACTGGGAGGGTGTTTTAGAAAAAACAAAAGGATGACTGGAAAAATGGAAATGGCTGTGGCCCAAAATGTCATTTAGAGGACGTGTTATAGTCATCAATAATTTGGTGGCTTCAACATTTTGGCATCGCTTGGCATGTACTGAGCCACGAAGTGGACTTCTTGCAAAACTACAAGCTCTCATTGTGGACTTTTTTTAGGACTAAGTTTCACTGGGTGCCGCAGAGTGTACTATATCTCCCTAAGGAGGAAGGGGGACAAGGACTAGTACATCTGGCCAGCAGAGGATCAACTTTTCGTTTACAATTTATTCAAAGATTTTTAACTGGACCAGAAGATCTTGTTTGGAGGAATGTTGCTAACTTTATTTTGAGTCAAGCTGGAGGCCTGGGACTGGACTCTGCTTTGTTTTTAATGAACTCTAGCAAAATTCATCTGAATGGACTGACTCCATTCTATAAAGGGGTCTTTAGAATATGGAGCTTATTCAAGAAAAGAAGAGGGGCTTTTGGTTTGTCTTTATATTGGTTATTAGAAGAACTGTGTTTGGTGCTAGATTTGATGTTTCAAGTGAAGCTGCATGGGGTTTTGAAAATGCAATGTGCAGAGCACATACAAAGTTAAATTGTGTCAGATAATAGTTGCTGGGGGTCCTGAGTTAAATAACTCACAAAAGGTTGCTTCTTGCATTGGAGTTAGATCAACAAGATTAGCAGGGAAATTACTGGATCTTTTAAAACAGAAGGTTACGGTAGAAGAAAAGTCTCTCCTTATAAGCTATGGTGAAGGAAAGGTGGTTCCAAATAACATGGATCCATTTCCAGAAGTTTATATTATTCCTGATTTTAAAGGTGCAGATGGGGAATTGTTGAAGAATTTAGAGGATCTAACTATTAATGAGGCTAACAGCAAAAAATTGTACTGAAGCTGTGTTAAAATTTTAAACTTGAAAGTTTTAAACGGAAGAATTGATACTGTCTGGAGAGACAAATTAGGTTTGGATCAGAGTATAAAACCTGTGTGGAGAGTTTTTTATAAACCTCCTTTAGAAAAAAAGGTGGGGGATCTCCAATGGAGAATTTTACACGGCGCAGTTGCTGTTAATTCTTTTGTGCATGTTATTAACCCCAATGTTTGTAATCTATGTCCTTTTTGTGGAAAAAAAGGAGACAATTTTTCATTGTTTTATGGAGTGCACAAAGATTGTGCTATTTATTTGATTTTCTTACATTGTTGTTTGGTAAGTTAGATGAAATTTTTACTGTTCAGTTTTATTCTTGGATATTGATATGCAGCAAAAAACAAGATAAAATGTCAACTTTTAAATTTCATTGTGGAAGAAGCAAAAATGGCAGTATATATAAGCAGGAGGAATAAAATTAAAGGGTCAGAAGGATGTGAAATTGTATTATATGAAAGACTTGATTTTCTTTTCGGTTCAGTGGTGTTACAATGATGCAATTTGGAGGAGGAGGAGAGGAGGAGGAGGAAGAGGAGGAGGAAGAGGGGGAGGAGAGGAGGGGGAGGAGGAAGAGGAGGAGGACGTGGTGAAGGAGGAGGGAGAGGAAGAGGACGTGGTGAAGGAGGAGGAGGGAGAAGAAGGGCAAGGAGACAAGCAGTCTCAGATTAAATTCGAGCCACTTTAGTTGACCATGTCCTTGTCCATGGTATGACTATGAGGGAGGCTGGGCAACGAGTACAGCCAAATTTGAGTCACTTAACCGTCGCCTCCATCATCATAACTTTCAGGGAGGAAAACAGGTAGGTGTACTTACAGTAAGAATGCTCTGTACAGTAACTCTCCACAATTGATCTTACCCTCCGGATGAAACAGGCGTACCGCGTCCCTTTCGAACGAAACTCTGACATAGTGAAAGACCAACGAGTGAAATATGTTCAGGTATGAGTTTTGATATCGTATGAAGTATTGTGTACCATCACAGTATAGCAGTTTATGCTGCCATTTGTGCCCTCTTGAACTGTGTTTCAAGGCAGGGATTTACTCTACTGTGTTTCATGTGTTTTGCAGAGAATCCTTGAGATTGAAGGACGGCCTGTTCCCCATGAAATTATCTTTGTGGATGAGGCTGGTTTCAACCTGACCAAAAGAAGGAGAAGGGGGAGGAACATAATTGGCCATGGGGCTATTGTAAATGTCCCTGGTCAGCGCGAAGGGAATGTCACTATGTGTGCAGCCATCAGCCAACGAGGGGTACTCCACCGTCATGCCATTCTAGGACCCTATAACACTATGCTCCTCCTTGCTTTCCTTGACGGTCTAAGAGAGCATATGTTCCAGCTGGACCTCAGGGAACCAGCACAGCCAGAGCAGCCTCGTTACATTGTTGTTTGGGATAATGTCTGCTTCCATCTCGCTGCTCTGGTTCGTGACTGATTTACCAATAACCCAAGGTTTTCTAACATCTTTCTGCCTGCATACTCTCCCTTTCTAAACCCGATAGAGGAGTTTTTTTTGGCGTGGCGGTGGAAAGTGTATGACCGAGAACCTTATATCCGTGCTCACCTCCTCCAGGCCATGGAAGAAGCCTGCCTAGACATATCAGTAGATGCATGCCAGGGGTGGATCAGGCATACAAGAGGATTTTACCCTCGCTGCCTGGCTAGGGCCTATATAGCCTGTGATATGGACGAGATTCTCTGGCCTGACCCAGAACAAAGACTGGGTGCTGAGGCGGAATCTTTTTTTTTTTTTACAGTTGTGCTGTGTAGTACATGAATGAATAAAAATGTGCCAATGTATACATTGGTTGTGTCTTTTGTGTTCATGTGAAAAGGTTTTTGAGGGGGAGAACCACAAGCAACATAACTTACCAGTTTTGAATTTATTGCACCAGTGTGTAATACTATGTTGTAGTGTGTGTGTGTTTTTGAAAGCTCGTGTGTGATGTCTGAGGGAAAAGTTTGGTTTTTCAGCAAGAGTGAATGGTTTTGAGTGTAGAGCTTAATTTTGACCTGAAAATAGGATGTTTGGGGAATTGAGTGAGACGTTATGGATGTGTTTACTGTTTTGAGAATACGAGGCATAGTTTCAAGAAATGTGTTTAAGCAATCGAGAAAATCTGTAATAGGTAAGGGGGGGCCCAAAAATTTGTTTTGCCTATGTCACAATAAGAGGTAAATCCGGCCCTGCTAACACCCCCTACAAACAACCATCTGCCCCAGACCAACTCACTTTAGGATGAAAGGTGACACCATCTCGACACCTGCTGCACAAGCTTGAAGATCCACACCTTGCTACAGCCTACATTACCACAACACACTGCCTGACAGCATCCTCTATGGCACCACAACCACTCCTGGAGGCACCAACAGCCACCACTGTCCCCCAGCCTTGACTGGCAGGTGCGTGTCTGATTGTTCTGTACCATTGACGTTGCTCACTGTTGTCTATTGGACGGACAACAACGTTTGAAATGGGTATGTAGCGTTTGGACCAATCAGACACAATTATTTGTTACATTCAAAAAATAATCCCTAACACCCCTCACCCAACTAACAAGTCAACTATGAGGGTCCATGGACCCTTCCCCGAAATGCAACTAACACCTCAAAAAGGGGAACAGGCCTCTGGTTCCATGGCACCCAAAGACAAATCTTCTGATATCACTGGGTTTATTACTGAAAGGAATGCAGGCAAAGCAACTCTCACTCCATTTCACATTCTGTGAATGAACACACATCCTTAGGTCATTGTGTGTATTATTACTGTTCTTGTATATTGTATTTTGTATTGTATATTGTTTTATGCATGTGTTATGATAGATCACTAGTTAATATAACCTCACCTATTCCATGTTTGGTATCTATAAGTTCGTATTTTGATGATCTAAATGAGAGTATATATTATATGTTGATACCCATGCAACATGTTAGTGTTCTAATAACATTACAATAACAATAGTGTTCTTTAATAGTTTTTGCATCAGTGCCTAATCCAGTTACTTATGCAAAATACCATGCTTGAAGGAACTTTCCCTCCAAAAGTGTAAGTCACCACTGGCTCTTTGACTGCCCAGAGGTGTGACCTCCACAGAAGTTAAAAGGCCTTACATCAGTGACCCACCTCTCAGTTGCTTTTTGACTCTCATCTTTTCTCTCATCACCTTCCCATCTTCCGCTTCTGGTCCCGGGGCTGGCCAGCCAAGCCTGGAAGGCCTCGACTACAACCATGTCTTCACTTTCCAGTTTGAGTTTCTGATTCTGTCACTGCTTGTAAATCAATGTCCCTTTTACAATCCTATCTTATTATATGCTCTTATGCATTAATACTGTTAGAAATTATTTTCTGTGGCCATGAAAATAACATTTCTTAGAGTTGATACGCAACTACACTGAATGTTCGCTGGATGAACAGATTGGTTGATTGTAATATTAATTCTGGTACAGTACTACTGGCAGCTGATATAAACAATTGCAATTAATTTCAATTAATTGTAGTTATTTATATACATTTCCCTTTTGAGCTAATTTGCTACATATGGTACACCAGGGCTTGCCTGTGAGCACATCTGTCATGCTACATCAATACATCAATACAAAAAAAGCAAGTCCTACAAGGCATATATCTGACATGATATAAACAAGAAAGTATTAATGTTAACTCGAATAATTTTAACTAGAAATTTGTAAAATATAAAACATTACTGTAGGCCTACACTAGTGAATTGGAGTAAGGCAAGAACACAGTTTTGAAAACTGTTTTTTTTAATGTACAAGCAATAATGGAATTTTAATTATACCCAGAGAGACAGAGAGAGAGATTTGAGTGCAGGAGAGGAAGAGGTACAGGACATTAAGGAAGGGAAGCAGGAAATGGTTTGAGTTGAGCCACTAGACATATATTTTTAACAGTGAACAGATTCAGCAAAATGTCTATCAAGCATATTTGTGTGATGATGCAAGCATATTTTTGTGATTATGTGCAATAAGAAGTAAAATCTCACTCTGTGAAAGATACAAGTGTCCGTCATCTTGTCCCTTCATCTCCTGACTGGCTAGCTGTTGATTGGCTGTTTCCAAACGATCTGAAAAACACATGAATGACAAAAGATCTGCCACAGGACCCAAGAACAGCTAAAATAAACTGAATCAACAAACAAACAAATAAAATACAACTATATTATGCTATAACTACTTGAGCCCGACCGATAATGTTTTTTTGGGGGCTGATGCCGATACCAATATTAGGGTGTACAAAAGACCGATATCGATATATCGGCCGATATTCTTTATGTGTAGGCTAAATTATAGTACAGTATAGTCAAAAGTTTGGACACACTTCCCATTCATGTGTCCAAACTTTTGAATGGTATATATAGCCTACATAAACAGAATATATATATATACATAAACACATTTTTTTGCAATGATAACTCAAATGTGGTGATCAAACACTTATAATGTGACAAACATAGGCCTATGTAGTGGAGGCAGGGTATTTAACAATTTAACAATAAACTTTATTATTCAAAATGAGTCTGACATCAGTGCACTTAACAGTAAACTTCACTTCACTTATTATAAATAACTTAAAAAACAATACAAAATTATTACAAAAATAATTAGACTACAAAAAATATTTATAACTTGAAATAAGAAATTAAACAAGGTAACTGTGTAGGGCAAGCAAGTTACTGCCAAACCAACAGGGGCAGGTTTATGCAGGAAGCACAGCTTTTCCAAATGTAAACATCTAAAATGAATAAATAATAATAATGAATAATATTTTTTTACAAATTCTATGTTGTGTATTTTCTGGTAATCAATGAGGATGTGTATTTAAATAAGTCTTTTTGCAGTTTAATATTCACAGACACAGTCTATATTTACAGTCATAGCCAAAAATATCGGCACCCTTGGTAAATATGATCAAAGAAGGCTGTGAAAATGAATCTGCATTGTTACTCCTTTTGATCTTTCATTTAAAAAATTTACAAAAATCTAACCTTTCATTTGATAATAAGAATTTAAAATTGGGGGGAAATATCATTATGAAATAAAAGTTTTTCTCTAATACACATTGGCCACAATTAACGGCACCCTTTTATTAAATACTTTTTGAAACCTCCATTTGCCAGTTTAACAGCTCTAAATTTTCTCCTATAATGCCTGATGAGGTTAGAGAACACCTGACAAGAGATCAGAGACCATTCCTTCATCCAGAATCACTCCAGACCCTTTAGATTTCCAGCTCCATGTTGGTGCTTCTTCTCTTCAGTTCACCCCACTCATTTTCTATAGGGTTCAGGTCAGAGGATTGGAATGGCCATAGCAGAAGCTTGGTTTTGTGCTCAGTGACCCATTTTTGTGTTGTTTTTGAGGTTTGTGTTTGGATTATTGTACGGTTGGAAGATCCAAACATGACCCATTATAAGATTTCTAACAGAGTCAGTCACTTATTGATTTTTTATCTGTTGGTATTTGATAGAATCCATGATGCCATGTGTCTAAACAAGATATCCAGGACCTCCAGCAGAAATATAGGCCCACAACATAAAAAATACAGCAGTATATTTCATTGTACACATGGGGTACTTTTTATCCCCATGTTCACCAAACCCATCTTGAGTGTTTGCTGCTAAAAAGCTCATTTTTTAGTTTCATCTGACCATAGAAGCCAGTCCCATTTGAAGTTCCAGTCGTATCTTATAACTGAATATGCTGGAGTTTGTTTTTGGATGAGCTAGGAAACCCTCCTCTTGAAACCCTCCTAAACAACATGTGGTGTAGGTGCTGTTTGACACATTTTTTTTTAAGGTTTTCTGACCCCGAGACTCAACTATTTTCTGCAATTCTCCAGCTGTGGTTCTTGGAGAGACTTTAGCCACTAAAACTCTCCTTCTCACCGTGCATTAGGACGATATAGACATATGTCCTCTTCCAGGCAGTTTCGTAACATTTTATGTTAATAAAATAATTATTGCCCTGATGGTGGAAATGGGAACTTTCACTGCTCTAGCTCTTTTCTTAAAGCCACTTCACTAATTTGTGAAGCTCAATTATCTTTTGCTGCACATCAGAAATATATTCTTTGTTTTTTCTCAATGTGATGTATGATTAAGGGACTTTGGGCTTTGTTTTCCCTCCTATTTATATTTCTGTGAAACAGGAAGCCATGGCTGGATAATTTCATGTTCATAATCACCCTGGAATGCTCAAAATTGTGAATATGAATGGGAATATACTTCAGAGATATTTTACTCATAAGAATTTCTAGGGGTGCCAATAATTGTGTCCAACATGTATTTGAGAAAACATTTATTTCATAATGATATTTCCTCCCATTTTAAATTCTTATTATCCAGTGATAGTTTAGATTTTTGTGAATTTTTTAATATAAGATCAAATGGATTAACAATGCAGATTAATTTTCACAGCCTTCTTTGTTCATATTTACCAAGGGTGCCGATATTTTTGCCCATGACTGTATGTACTGACCTCTTTTTTATTTATTCATCAAAAATAAGACAAATTACATGAAATTCCACGTTATACAATAATTTCCGTTTTTATGACTGGATTGAAATCATAGGGCCCTACTAATGTAGCAAATGAATATGATAAGCTCATTGCGAAAATAAAAGATGGTGACATTGTTGTTTATTTACGTAGCATTAAGTCTCTCCAACTAGGTGACAACGTAGCGTTAAAGGGGTCATATGATGCTGCTAAAAAGAACATTATTTGGTGTATTTGGTGTAATGAAATGTGTTTATGCGGTTTAAGGTTCAAAAAACACATTATTTTCCACATACTGTACATTATTGTTTCTCCTCTATGCCCCACCTTTCTGAAACGCATCGATTTTTACAAAGCTCATCGGTCTGAAAAAGTGAGGTGTGTTCTGATTGGCCAGCTATCCAGTGTGTTGTGATAGGGCATCATCACACATTGTGATGATGCCCTATCAGGCCGGAGCGTTGATTCAAAAACATGACAAAGTAGTTTCGCTTTCACAACGAAACAGCGTCATACATGGCGGCCTTGAGTCAGCAGAGGCCGGGGGATAAAGTAAGGAACGGCCGGCGAGCTGAGTGAGCAGAGGCGGCATATTCGACGAAGGAGCATCCGGCGGGCTTGCGGAAACCACATGTGACGACCCCGTGCTGGACTCTGCTTCGTCCACGGTGAAAGCCGATCCAGCGATCCACAGCACAAAGTTGTAGTATTTCCTCAGCAACCAGCTGAAATCAGTTCCAGGCATGACGAAGCAGATATCGTCCTCTTTTGGAAGGCCAAACAAAGTAGTTTCGCTTTCACAACGAATCACACAGCGCATTCACAACATGGCGGCAGCAACAATTCTTTCTTTGCGTGAACATTTGGGCGGCGTTATGCAAATCTTCCCACATAGTGATGTAGATATGTGGGGGCGTGTTAGAACGAGCCATTTCAGGTAGGTGTGGCTGACTCTTAACTTTTATAAAGAATATCTCTTTGGATTTGAGACTTTAGTCTTTGCAACTTTACAGATATTCTTTATGCACCAAGAGCTTGTAACACTCCAAAAAGAAAGGAAAAATTTAAATCGCATCATATGACCCCTTTAAATCACCATTCAACAGACTCAAGCCACCACCGCACTGCCGTCTATTGGACTGCAGAAAGATACAAACTTTTCAATCTGCTATGTTACTGACTGTACTGACAAACTATGATGACACTGTGTCTGCGCCGCGACAAAGCGACCGTTGAAAATCATTTGAACTTTGTGTCAACATGTCATAATTAGAACGAGGCATCAGTTTACTGCATCCAGTAGACAACATCACTGATTATAATGGATTCTATTCTATACCGGACGCGAGTGACACAGTGCGACAAAATACAATAGAAATTCTCGCGAATAGTCGCAATGTGATATGACCAATGTGATAAGCATGAGTTCTGGGCTGCGGCACGGCCGGTATAAACACCAGCATTGACTGAGTGGCCGCGATCAGCTCCGGTGACCGTAACACAGGCTTTAATGCGCCGCAGACATGTGCCGTGATACGCAGATCAGCTCTAGTCTCTAATGTCACTGAATCTGCTGTTAAAAATGAACCATCCATTCATCATATCATCATGCAAAACTAAGAATTAGAATAATTGTAATGTGACTAGCAAATATAGGTGCAGGTGGGTGGCTAGCGGATAATTTGAAGCAGCGAGTGAAGTTGGAGCACATCCGTGAATCTCAACACTGCACTGACCTGGGTGGCCAGTAGCAAACAATGGAGCTCTGCTGGACAAACTAAGTAATTACACCATTCAGAAGCATTTCATCTGCGTTATATGTTCTGTAAAAAAAAAAGTTCATATCGGAGGCATATTCGCCGATACCAATATATCTGCGACAGGCTCATATCAGCCAATAATATCAGCAAAACGATATATCGGTCTGGCTCTAATAACTACCACAACTATGCTATAACTACCAACTCACAAAGTTCAGCAATAAAATTTGATCCATTTTGAATAAAATGTGGTTTCTAAAAGCATGGGCATTATAAACAACCTCACCTCTCAAGTCTCTGTTAAAATCATGAAGACGCCTGATCTCTGCCTCTAGTTTATTCCTCACGGTTTTTTCCAGAGCATCCCGTTTGGATGAGCTCTTCACTAAACTCTCATATGCCTCTGACAGGTGAACAGTCTCCGCCTCCAACTGGAAATACAGCATAAATTCCAATTAAAGCTGCACGATAGTATAAGCATGACAATGTCCTACTGTCAGTGTGCTGTATTACAATCATACTGGGCAGTATCCCAACAATATTTTCATAACCACAGCCCCACATTCCCATTAAAGTTTATTTCCTTTATGAACCACTTCCTGTCATGTGTAATAACTACACTGTATTTTCAATATTACTTTGCACAATTCCATATTAGTTTGTATTATAAGACAGTAAGACACTTTAGACAGTAAATAGTCTGTAATAATGAGAAGTTTTGATTATCAGAACCCCAAATTCTGTTTCTTCTTTGCTTCTAATATTATAAGATAGACAGACAGGTGGACAGACACACAGACAAAGTACCCTCTGTAGTTTGCTGGCCTTCTCATTTTGCTTGTGAAGTTCTTGTCTAAGTCTTTGGTTTTCTTCTTTTAGGTTCTCCAGCATCTGCTTGGCATGGCTTACCATGGCAAATGTTTCCCCTGGGAAAGGCTGTCCAAAAGGGGCCACACAAGAAAACTGAGTCACAGATCCAGGCTGTGCCGGAGGAAATGCCAGGGACTGAGAAAGGGATATAGCCTGATACTGTTGCTGATAAGCCTGTGAGGGTAGGATACAAGTCTCAGAAGTCATGGGACTGGTCTGTGTTTGGTGCTGTGATGTAGACAAAGGGCACTGTCTAAAATACAGAAAGACAGTGAGTGAAACAGGTGAAAAGTGTACATTTTTTTTATTTAAAACAGTTTATCATATACAAGTTGAATAGACAGGAGTTAATTTAATGCAGATACATCTATAAATAAGTCACTGGTATGTTGGCTTACAGTATAAACATTGAGCCACCATAAAAACATTGTTTGTTGTAATGGCCCAACATGTCAGTGTTTGGCTCAGCCAATGACATGTAATAATCCTGTACCCGTAAAAAGCTGTTTAGGGGAATTTGGAAAGCCTTATTTTTGTAGTTCCAACTGGTGCTGCTAGTAATACAGATATTACACAATTCACCTTTAAGTTTCTGTTACCATTACCTTGCTATATTTCTAAGTGGCACTGTCTCCAACATGGCTGCTGTCAAGGTATCACTGTTGAAGTGACCATGTTCCAGAGAGTCCGAGTTGGGGTTTAATGTAGGCGAAGTCATAGTCTGTAACTTGAATTTAAAGGGATATTCTGGGGGAGGACCTGTTTGATCCAAAGTCCACTGTGGAGGGTTTAAGGGTGGTGGTGGAAGTTGTAGGGTACTCGTGGAGGTCTTACTAGTTAGTGAGAGAGAATTTGCTGTATTACCAGCCCCACAAAGAGTAGTGTCTCCTGTGCAAGATGAATTGGATGGTCCTAAACATTGCTTAGCTTCACTGCATTCTAGACTGAGGTGCATGATCCTTTCACTTAGAAAGCGAACATGACCCTGTTTCAACTCTGCCAGACCTTCATCACAAAGAAATGTACCACCAGTGCCTCCTGGCTGGACCGATGACTGACCCTCCAAAAGCGCCTTCATGGGAACCGCTGAGAGAGAGGTGTAAGGAGACGAAAGAGAAGGAGGGGAAGAGAGTGAGTATGTGTTAGAAAGTGATGGTAGACAGGAACGTGAGCTTGTGGGACTGTCAGACATTGTTGACAACTGTTGTATCTGCTGAACCGAGTTGTGTTGCTGCTGACTTTGGTGGACAGTGTTTTTATGGCCCTCTTTGTGTAAGTTCTGGTCCTGATTTTGTTGAAAATTGTTTGAAAGGTCATCTGGATTTTGAAGACTCTGGTGGTTGTGGCCAGGGATTTGGGACTGAGGGTCCATCGGACTTTGCTGTCCTCTGTAAAGCTGAGACTGGATTTTAGCCTCCTTGTACAATGGAAGCTCCAGGGTGTCAAACCCAGACAAAATCTGGGCTGCTTGGACTGCTCTACCTGCACCCTGGCTCACACCACCAGCTTTTTCCATGGAGCTGCTGTCCACTTGATGCTCCTGACCTTGAGGTTCCTGTCGAGACTGTGACTGCAGGGGCATAAGCTGATATGAATGGGCTACTTGACCCTCATTTTGAAGGAATAGGTTTACTGTAGACGCAAGTTTGCTTGGCATCTGAGAACTGTCGTTTTCTCCGTATCGGAGATGTTCTTGCATAAGCCTATGAAGCACAGTTCCAGATGCACTCTCCTCAGAACCATGCATGTCTGCTGCTGCACGGGTAGGCAAAAGGTAGCACGGATATGTTCAGATGAATTGGATGTTATTATCTGCAAAAGGAAAAGGGGCGATTAATTATTCCAATACTGCTACATAAACATCAAGAATAACATGTGACAAATAATCAAGATTTACTTCTAAGATAATATATTTAAAATAAATTGATCGTGCTTATAGACAGGGACATGACTAGGCCCTGGCAACTGGGCTATATCCTGCATGTTTTTTAATACAAATTTCAAAACACTTTCAAATTTCAAACACCCATGTGAATTTTGCAGCGCACCCCACTCAACGTGGAGCATTTTAGTATGCATCAGTTTATTATACTGGTATAATATACTGTTTTTTTTTGTTTGTTTTTTTACACATAGTAATAGTTCTATTTAGATCCATATCATCCTGAAGAACCCTTTTGTGCTGAACTGGTTCTTTCTGTTAGTGTTTAGAGTTTTTTATTCCCACCTTTTTGTTTTTCAAATCTACAACTGTCAAAGCCACCTTATTACTGATTTTCTAGACCTCAACCATCCAACTACACAGACTGTCAGCACACACTCAGCAGGTAAATTATTTAATTCTCAAAATGTCTATAAATTTTAACTTTTGAATTATAACTGGTTTCTGACCAGTCGTGTCTTTTTCTCTTTTTAGTTATTTTAATAAAACAACCCCACAACCCTGATTATCTACAGAGAGAAGCTGCCACTCAAAATATACACATAATGATGGACATGAAGATCATAGGAGATTGTGAAGATATTTCACTGATCTCTCTTTCACTGCGATCTGTTTTTGTTTCTGTTTCTATTTATGTATTTATTCATGTTCAATGCCAGTTATCATGTATTCAGTTAATAACTGTTGTTAGAGCACTGTCATTTGTGCTACAATTTCAATAAAATGTCAATAAAAAAATAAAAGTACCAAATTCACATGGCTTGCCATTTTTTATGCAAAACCCTAATAGAGGCCACAATATACTATAAGACAAGGCAAACAGAGGGGTAAAACAATATTAATAAACAACAACAACAAAAAAAGAATAATAATGAAAATGTTATGCATGTTAGAGTTTTCATTTTAAAGTATTAGAGCTTAATTAGATACTTCTTTAAGCACTTACATACATGTTTGCTTATTTGACACAGGATCTGGGGTTGTCACCCAATGATGACATCAGCACCTGCATTCTCCACTGACTGTTTTAAATTACTTTCTCACATTGAAAATGTGAAAGTGGAGGTGACAGAACAAGTGTTGTTGAATTATCAACTAAACTGGATACAATTATAATGATAGTATCTTTATTAGCAAAATATGTTTTGTGATTTTGAAAACATTCAATACTTAATTAAAACATTTTTGTAAAAATGCAAATTGTCTTTAAAAACTAAGTTTTAAAAAACTAAGGAGTAAATCTTTAGATTTTTAAAACGGTGTAAAGAATGTTTTGTCTTAACAACTTCTTAAATTAACTGGTATTATTATAATATTAACTTTATTAACTTTTTACTACAGTATTTAATTTAACTAAATTAATTTGAATACATTCGCTTACATCAACAAAATATTCAGGTCGGATAGAAATACCTGACATCTGCATATTTTTCACAGTATATTCATAGTATCTAAAAAATAAAAATGATATGAATAATTAACACCAATATAACACACGCGAAATGACTGGAGGAGTTAACAGGGAAACTTTACCCGAGAACCCAAAAATAGAACCACCAGATGAACTTAAGCATTACGTAGCCAGCTTTTAGCCCCCCATTTAGAAGCATATATATTCAGTTAATGCAAATAGTTTATGCAGTCAGACATGAAAAGATTTAAATGGGTACTTTACTAAGTAATCCATTGCATTTGAAAAATAAACTTTCAGTAAAGAATCCCTGCTTGGTACATGTAGATTTCTAAACTCCAGCTGAAAGCTGGTAAACATGAGTCACGCATCACATGTTACATTGATCACATCATCCGCTACATTTGAATCCACTGAGGAAACTGCGAAAAGCACGACAGCGAAGTTAGCAAAGTTATACATGCCATATTTACCCAGCGAGATCCTGACATGGATTACTCAATCTGTCAGAGGGGAGAGTGTTTCTAAGTGAATTTCCCGGGACTCTCTTTAGCTGATTGGAACTCTGCTGCTTAACACATTTGACTGACTCACAACAATCATTTCCATTCACTGTGGTATGGCAGGAATGTGTGTGCCCTGACCGCTAGGCAACATGCGCTCCTGGGTCCTAGCACCAGTTTAGGATCTGTGGAGACGCGCGTGGACATTAATATTTTTGCTCGACTTTCCAGTAAGTATATGGAAAACCCGCCTCAGAGGAAAAAAAATAAATATATAAATAATTAGTGCTGTCAAACGATTAATCGCATCCAAAATAGAAGTTTTTGTTTACATAATATACTGTGTGTACGGTATATATTTATTATGTATATATATATATATATATATATATATATATATATATATATATATATATATATAT